TTAATACACCAAAGAAACACATGACAGGCAACAGGGGCGAGTAAAGGGTGAGAGACAGCCAGTGTAGACGGTGCATCCGGGCCTGCAGCATAAGCGCTGGTCTCCTTGATCCACCGTCAGCATCGGAGGGGAATAAGCGTCGAAGGCGTTTGGAGGGGGGATGAGTGTATGTCTGCATGTGTGTATATGTCCAGAGTTCAGCTGAGACAGTGTCCTTCGCCCTGCCAGGCTAAGTAAACAGTCTTCCAGCCAACCCAGGTGGACTTGCATGGAATGGGAAGAACAGTCTAAACACAGTCGTTATCAGGGTGTTTTGTTCAGCTCCAGCCTCGAGACCACAGCTGGCGCCGAAGGGGTATCCGCATGAAGTGATGGTGGTTTTTACTTTAGTGCGAACAGCTCATATGAATTTCAAAGCTGTTCTAACAGTCCGACACTGGTCTCTCAATCTCCCGTTGGAGAGCCGCGAGCTTCTCCAAGAGCCGAGAGCTAGCAAACTGTAAACAGTCTGTGTGGGGAGGTTTTAAGGAAGAAGTCGTTTCATGTGCAAATCAGATGCATGCTTTTAGTTCACTGCTCATGTAAGCTTAGCTTTAGACAGTTCATTTGCAGAATTCTCTTCATATGTTACAAGAAAGTGTAACATAGTGTGAAGGTGCAGCTCCTAATATAAAAGTTTAATACGGAGAATCAGAAGCTCTGGGCGAGAGGTGAAGGTGGTTAAAACAAATCTGTGGATAAAATAGGTGATGATGTAGAGAAGGATTGATGCAATACAAGCAACCTGACAACTTTACATGTGCATGTGGGACTGATAGAAGGTGACTGAATTTCACTTAGAGAAGAAAAAAAGCCCACAGAGGCTGCTGTTGCTGGTTTTGGCGCTTTATAAATAAATTCAATTAAACTGAAAACTCAGTCGACTCACGTTTGAAACGGTTTATTACAGTTACTTTATAAAAATGTGTATAAAACTGAGCTGCGTTCACAATTTTTGGAGGATGGCCCAAAGAGCCCTCTAGTGGATAATGTGGGTGTTGCACAGGTGGAAACAGCAGATATGTCAGAGTGAGACTTTACAGCAGACGGCACGTTAGGATGAGAGTGAGGCCTACTGTGGGTGGCAGAGAACAGCTGAGCTCAGCTTCATTTCTCTTTTGTTAAAAAAATATTTCATTAGTCAATAAAATAATTAAAATGACATATTTATAAATCTCCTTTTAAAACTCATGTTAAGCTAACTTAATGTTTCCATTAATGAAGCAGCTCGTGACCTCTAAAGCCCACGCCGACCGTGTCACGCCCTCACCTTCCCCTTGTTGAAGTAGTGGATGACTTTCCTGCAGAGTCCCTCCTTGCGGTGCCACTCGGTCTGAGCAGGATAATGCAGGAACTCCTTCAGAGGACGCTCGTCCCAGTGCAGCAGCTCCCAGTATAACAGCAGGGTGAACGCGGCCTCTGCAGACAAACACGGAGCCCAGAGAGCGTCAGCCTGGCGTTTGTCACACGTTCTGCTCGTGTTCGTAAGTGACTGATTCTGCTGTACCTGTGTAGTTCTCCGCCTGCAGATGCATGTCACACAGTTTGTGGATGTAGCGGATGTACATCTCCTCCTTGTTGATCTCTGACTTGTAGAAGTTCTGAGAAGAAACAAAACAGACAATCAATGCACTTCCTGTGTTTATGCACTGATTTAAACCTGGGATGCCAAACGCTGCAAATACCCACTCGATAGCCCAAGGTCTGAATCATCTTCATCATTTTCAGACCTATTTATGGCATACTGTACCAAACCTATACGTTAGTTTTTTTGTTTGTTTGTTTGTTTGTTTGTTATGTAAATAATATGAAGAGGATCGAGTGTAGACCAACTGAATGTGGAAAACATGAGAATTATTCTTGAAGGCTGTTTATTTATTTAGAACTGGACGGTTTAATAAATGTGAAGTAGCTTGGAAAGAAAAGTGTCTGGACTTGTTTAAGTTTTCTTGAAGACGTTTCAGCTTCATCCAAGAAGCTTCTTCAGTTCTAAGAACAGCTGGTGCAGAGTCCCAGATTTCAGCCCCATGGGGGCGTCTCCAAGAGGGTAAATGGCAGCCATGTTTATGAAGTGACTGTTTCCAATGCAGAGGTCTGATCCTGGCACAAAATAGGAGAGCCACCTCGACGGGACAAAACTCGGCTGTCCATCTGCACATAAAGGTCAAAGGTCACTCTCTCGAGGATGCCAATGTTCACATT